TTGCTTCTCTCATGCTGTCCATTTCCTAAAGTAGTAAGCTATGATCAGTAGCTTTGCAACCATTTCCTCCCACATCATTCCTGGAATCTATCATTTTTACAAAAGTCAGGCTGGTGTGCTAACATATTTGTGTGTCTGAAATCTGCTACAGCTTCTGGTCCAATAAAAGATGCATGTCCTGCTTAAGCATGGGTAAAACAACACTTCTAACTTGTAATGGGTAGCAATACTCCAGAAATATTCAAAAGCAATCTGCTTAATTCTGAGGTGATGTTGCAGCTGAATTGCAACACGCAAGCAGAGTAATGTTAATCCATTTTGTTTGTTCAGAAAATCTGAACCAGTCAAAGCAGTTACGCAAGAAGAAATTAGATTTTCTAATTTGTTAGCAATTTCCACTCACATTATTCAAGCATACGAAGTTCTGTACTGTATTACTTCTGCTTAGCATCTACACTGTATCTTCATAGATGCAAAGATAGCCACATTGGTGGTATTCAGACTTCTGGAAAACTGTACTCAGTCCAACAGTACTGGAGGGACTATACAATAACTAAGTTCTCTTTTATTCCTTGAGTCAAAATGCAGCTCAAAACCAGAAAATTTGAGGTGAAAAAAGAAGAGTGTCCCTGTATCTTCCTTATTTGTACAATTTAAATATTAATAGTCTTTTCTATATCAAACTGACAGCTGTTAAATGGCTCCCAAGAGGGCACCACTTTTAAATTTCACCTTTGTTCTCTTTCATTGTTAGATCTGAAAGCTCAGTCTGGATGATAGGAATATTTTTACACTTAAATACCAGGAGAGATGTATGGAAATAAAAACACACGAGCGGAAACTGTCAGAATGGGAAATTCGCTTCAGAATGAAATCTCCCTTCAAGTCACAAAATGGAAAACTGCCTGGGTTCATCCTTTTGTAACTTCCCTCTCTCTTAACTGCCCTCCCAGGACTTCGGCCTGTCACTCCCCTGGCAGAATTTTAAGCAGGTATAGATGCCCTGTACTCCTTTGCCACATCAGTACTACATGTGCAAAATCGCTAACAGCAATTAGACTTCAGAAGCCAGATGAAGGAAATCTCACTCAGGAGCTCATTGAAAATTACAGTCATTTCACTTGCTAATTCACCTTCCTCAGCAGGAAGTTTATTAACGGCAAAAAAAGCTTATGCTCTCTTAATCACTGGTTACCTGGACCTATCAGTGGTTTAAGGAGATCTGCAATGTCTCCACAGGCCACTGTACTTCAGAGGACTGCGATAATCTTGGCTCACAATAACATTATTTGTGATCAGTGGCTCTATGTCAGGATGCAGGCCGGTCACAAGCAGTGTCCCTCAGGGGTCGGTCTTGGGACCGGTGCTCTTCAGCATCTTCATCAATGACACAGATGATGGCATCAAGTGCAGCCTCAGCAAGTTTGTAGATGGCTCCAAGCTGAGCAGTGCACTCGATACATTGGAAGGAAGGGAAGCATCCAGAGGGACCTGGACAGGCTGGAGAAATGGGCCTGTGTGAACCCAATGAGGTTCAATAAGAACAAGTGCAAGGTGCTGCACTTGGGTCAGGGCAATGCCAGGTATTGATACAGACTGAGGGAAGATCTCCTTGAGAGCAGCCCTGCACAGAAGGACTTGGAGTCCTGGTGAGCGAGAAGCTGGCCATGAGGCAGCAGTGTGCGCCTGCAGCCCGCAAGGCCAGCTGTGTTCTGGGCTGCATGACAAAGGGGCGGCCAGCAGGAGAGGGAGGTGATCGTCCCCCTCTGCTCGGCTCCTGTGAGGCCCCATCTGCAGCGCTGCATCCAGGCCTGGGGCCCCCAGCACAGGAAGGATGTGGAGCTCTGGGAGCGGGGCCAGAGGAGGCACTGAGATGAGCAGAGGGCTGGAGCAGCTCTGCTGTGAGGAAAGGTTGAGGGAACTGGGCTTGTTCAGCTTGGAGAAGAGAAGGCTGCGGGGAGACCTCATGGTGGCCTTCAGTGCTTGGAGGGAGAGGATAAATAGGAGGGTGTTAATAAATAGAACGGCTGTTTGTGAGGGTGGATGGTGATGGGACAAGGGGAATGGTTTTAAACTGAGACAGGGGAGGTTTAGGTTGGATATTAGGAGGAAGTTTTTCACCCAGAGGGTGGTGAGGCACTGGAACAGGTTGCCCAAGGAGGCTGTGGATGCCCCATCCCTGCAGGCATTCAAGGCCAGGCTGGATGTGGCTCTGGGCAGCCTGGGCTGCTGGTTGGCGACCTGCACACAGCAGGGGGTTGGAACTGGATGAGCGCTGTGCTCCTTTGCAACCCAGGCCATTCTATCATTCTGTGATTCTATGATTCATTATAGCATTTTTTTCCAACACGTTTATCAGAGTCTAAGGCTTCTTCAAGCCATCCTCCTCTGATAGTTCAACACCTCGTTCTTTATGGCATGAATTTCGTTATGGGCAACAGATAACCACGCCTGTTCAGTTGCAAATACTGTCACTAGTTATTCTGTCTTCTCCCTAATATAGATACAGATCAATATTTATACTGTCTGGTACTTACAGACAACAACTACATACATTTCAGTCTTTGTTATTCTTTGTTTGCCTCAGCTTTTCTCATAAAGCAAGTTCTCCATTCTCATCCTCTGCATCTACTCCAATTTTAACATCTCTTGAGCATGACTAACCATCTCTAAAATAGACAGAGCAATTATAACAATGTATTATGCTTAATACACTCTTATCCCAACTGAAACTACCAACTCCACATTATTGGCTATTACTTTACAAAATTCTGATCCTTCTCTGCATCAACAACCCTTCCATCACCAAAAGTAATTGATTTCTTTTCCTTAACTTCTCTATAAACATTGTTAATACATACATTAGGATCAGTCTTTTCTGCAGCCTCATGCATTCTCTGGTGGCAGATTCTTGCCTCCCCTCCCAGGTTAGATCCTTGCTTACAGTACAGTAATTGTACTAATCTGCTCTCGGGCTACATAGTTGATTACTGCAACTGTATGGATGATTTTATTTTATTCCATTTTCATACATCTCCAGCTTCCCAGTTAATCCTTTTTTCAACATTTGTTCTAAATCTTTGCGTCCTACTGAGGTCATATAAATGATTGGTAATGGAATGCCTCATTATATCTCTTTTTGTTAAACAGGTCTTATATGTGCCATTCATCAACTGCATAATACTGCCAACTGCCAAATTTTATACTTGCACAAATAAATATAACTGAGGAAACTGCAGTTTCATTTGCCAGTTTTTATTATTTCAGTCAAACTGGGTATTAAGTTTTGGTTCAGCCCAACTCAGAACACAGTAATTTGTTCTCCTTCACTTGTTCCCATGACACTGCTTTCATTTCCACATTCTCTAATCTGTTACAGAATTTTAATTTAATTTTAATTCTGCTTTTACTAGACCTGGATTGACCTTAATCTCCTTAATCCTTCTAACCTTATCCTTACCCTACTAAAAGAAAAACAAAACAAAACAAAACAAAACAAAAAGCTACTCTGTCTGTGCTCTTTGTTTTTGTCCTTACCTAGCAAAAGGGATTTTACTGTTGTTACAGCAGATGTTAATTTCCTTCGCACTATCCCGTCGCCTTAATTTTTGGAACTCTGAATTTTTCCTCATACTTTCTGACAAAACAGAGATGCACATCAGATGCACAGGCTACAGGAAGAATTCAAATTATAAGATCTGCCAGGCACATTTTGCAATATGCATTTTTTGGATCAGATGTATTTCAGTTTGTAACAGGGAAAAAAATAATAATAATAAAATCTTTTGATGTCTCTCTCTCTTCCCCACCCTGAGATGCTGAAATCCCAGGAATGGAGAGGCTAATGGCACAATCTGTGCATCCTGAAGGGTCAGATGAAGCCTAAAAGCCCTGGGTGGGAAGAAGTATGATAACAAGGGGATCATGTCCCAAGTCATCACTGTTCATCTGTGGAAGTACACCAGCTCCCCATGCTGCTCCCCTCAGGGCTACAAGAAGATGTACTGTATATAAATCAATAAATTGACATCCATATGGATTCCCTTTCTATATGAGGACTGTGTTAGGATCTTTTCCACATGAATGTGATTCCCTTTTTGCCTTTCAATTAAGGCAGGAAAAATGTTTATGATTTTAATGACCTCCACCTGTCTCCATGCGTTTTAGCCCAGTTCTTCATACTCTCATCTCAGGACTTAAGGCACCAATGAGGCAGTTCCTGCTTCCATGATTAGGGCTGCATGGAGCACACACAAGAGATGTAAAAAGCACTGCCTGCTGCTCTTTGCAGAATCAGGCAGTATTCACTAAAACACACAAGGTGTACACAAGAGGGAAAAAATCCTGCTGAGCGTTGAATGCTCCCGTAACGTCTTAGTAAACTGTTTTCTGATCCAGGCTTCTGAAAATCATATGCTCATAAAAACAAACAAACAAACAAACCTTTCCACAGCTTGCATGAACAAGAATAAAACATACGGCAGAAAACGAGACTTTATACAGTTCTACAAATGCCATAGTCCCAAGAGCTGGAGCAATTAATTGTTGATCAGCTGAGACATCTGAGTAGCTTTGGCTCTCTTTTCACCTACACTGCTTTTGTGATGCAGGTCTCTTGTTAAATAATTGACCTCTCAGCCCTTCCATTGTTGTGGCAGGCCAGACATCTTCAGATAAAGTGATCATCAGGGCACGTAAATAGCTGCCAAACACATGACTCTTCTTGGGGGTGTATTTAAAATCTAGACAAACAAATATGTCAGCACTCACCTCCTTAGTAAGAGCAGCATGGCATCCACTAGTCCTGTTTTTTTTTTTCTTTCCCTGTCTTGTCTACCACATATTCTACTGTCTACCCTTGCTTCTCTTTTCCCTTCTTGTACTGCTGCCATTCTTCCTCAGCTTACAAAAGTTATAGAGCCACTGTGCTTGAAGGTGCTTGTGTTTTTCCTGATTATCCCCCAAAATATCCTCTTCATTATTCCTCTGTGTCCTAACAGGATGAAAACCACTGAAGATAGCCATGAAGCATATTTTGAAGAACATAAACCTTCCCCTCGAACAGGAGTGAGAGAACCCTGTGCATTACAGCACCAAGCCTGTTACTTCTGGTGAATCTCAGGCCTGGGTCTTTCATTTATTCTTATCTCAAAAAAAATAACTGGGGCTACTTTTTAAGTCACATTGTCATTGTGCCATTCAAAGGGTACCAGAAGAAATAAGAAAATAGTTGTAGTAGGGATACAGTCAGAAATTTGAAAATCCAAATTGAAACAGCTTCCTTAGAGAAAGGAAATTGTCAGTTTTTTGTTGCTCCTTTGTATGGAGCAAAGGCGTATTGTTAGCCCAGCCACAGGGAGCCTAACAGCATACATATTTCACCTGTTTGTTACTCTCCTTGTCTTTTGGAAAGTTGCTTTTTTACTAACTGGGATGTTCTTTTCCTGAGCTTACAAATCTTCTCAGGGTTAGTATCATCTCCTTTGAAAATCCAGTGATATGCCAAAGATTATTAAGGGTACATTTTAATAGCAGTAAGCTGGTTCAATTTTCATCATGGAGAGTAAAGAGCAGTGAGAACATTTACAGACATCTCTGCATAATTTCATTATTAGTTGTATTCCTCAGAAGGTGAAAAATCAAGAGCACTAGGATTAAGGGGATAAGGAACCTAAATGTTTGATTATGACAAAATCCATTATTTAAAAACAACTTGAAAAGCAAAAACTGCTGCTCAGGCTTATCATTTATTAGTGCGCACTCATCAAAACAGAATTGCAATAGACTCGATGCCACTTTCTTGTTTGTTTTTATTTTGTTTTTGCTAAAAGAGGAAAGAACAGAAAAATTTTAAAAAAGAAAAACAACACAAAAAAGCACAAAACCACAACTATATGGAAGTATTATTACTTGATGTTTGAGTTGCACAGTGTCTTAACAGATACATAGAAATCTCTGCTATATTAAATAACAAAGTTATTCTATTACAGAGATCAGTTATTCATAGCAGACACAGAAATTTGTTGCTATGGGAAATAAGTATGGTATATCACACAAAACCACCAGTTCTTGTGAACAGTTATACTCTGCCTGAAGATAAATTGAAACACAGGGCTGAATTTCATCCAAAGTCTGGAAGTCTTTTACAATTAACATACAAAGCCTGATCGTGCAAATTTGATGTAATAACATCATATTCAATACAAAAAGTCCAACAGAGTTTATTAGGCCTATACTGTTTCAAGTAATTTAACTGCAGAGCATGATAGACAGTGGTGGAGAAAAAAAGAAATTAGGAAATATAATTAAGTGGAATGCAACAGTAATGGTGAAGAGATGATAAGGAAGTCTTTGTAGGCTGTTATAGGCCTATAGCAGTGTCAGAGAAGAAAACGGGGTTCTGCAAAACAGACATGGACTGCAGTATAGACAAAAGCGCAGACTGAAGAGAAAGCAAAGGCCTGTATAAAATACTATAATTTTCATGGCAAATAAAGGTATGATCCTGGATTTTCAGCAGGTGTAAACTGCCCAATCTCCACTGTTTTGTTGAGCAGATAAAAAGAGGCCTTGGTTTGTTTTTCCACATTATAGACTGAAGAAGGCAGTGCCCAGCCTGACCCTCTTTTATTCATGTACCAGAGATGAGCTGAACCTCATCAATGCACATTGAGAAATAAAATGAGATTAATGCAGCTGCTGCACTGGTTCTCCTCAATTTACAAGGTATTTTATCAGTCACATACTCATCATCTGGTTTCCGCTGAATAAAACACAAACTGAGCTGTTGCTTGCACGTCTGGAGGCACTACATACATAAGCAAATGACAGCTTAACAGCTAATGTGAAAAGAAGGAACAGAGCTGTTGAAGGAACCATTAAATGTGTCACAGCTAATGATTCAGAGATTCCTGATGGTTGCTCTTGTAGATTATATAAGCCACATCATGTTGCTTATATTGTATGATGTAGCTCTTGTGAGGCATAGCATGAGGAGCAGCTGAGCGCTAGCCCTGGGAGGACTGGCTCTGAGATATACAGCTCTTTCTCCCCTTGTTGAAATAATTTACTAAGCACGCTAACTATCATACAGCAAAACATGTGGGAAACCACAGCATTGTTAATGGCTTATGCATGGATAATGGTTGTTCAGTCTTGGCTCAGAAAGTCACAGATACTTTATTTTAGTGCTTTAAAAACTGGCAGTAGTCCCATCAGGAGTAAGGTACTGGACTTAGTGGGATACAAGGGGAATTAGAGGGAGGGAAAGCACAGATTAAGTAAAAAAGAGAGGCTTGTGAATTCCTCCTGTGTAAAGAATGATTAGTCTAGTTTTCTGTTAAGCAGGTGTTAGACCTTGGTTAAACTTTTATTGCAGTTTCACCCGCAGGACTGAAAGGTGTTTGGCTTGCTACAGGACTGCACAACTTTTGCAGGATTTGCCAACTGAGGGCAAGACACCATTTTAGACAGAAACATGCACTTTTCCTAGCAAGATGTCTTCATGGAGACACGAGATTTGTTTAAAAGATTTTGTGCTTACACATTTAGGCTCACACTCAGCATAAAAGACTTCCTTCAAAGAGAAAAACACTGAATTTTTTAGGTTATTACAGAACACATTATTTCATGGACGGTTGTGTCATTTTTGAGTCAATGGTCTTACTTTGCTTCCAGAGCACGTAACTCTGCTGTGGACAAGCTGTTTAAATTTTTGCTTAGTCATCAGATCAACTGTTAAAAACAAGTATTTCTTAATATTTATACCACGCCGCAGGATAACGGACACGCTATATGATCAAATTGTAGTCCACCAACAACCGTAAGCTGAAGCCGGTGCTGGGACAGGCTGCTTCTACACTAATCTTACCGCCCACGCCTCCCCTCCGCAGCCGCCTCTCCCGCCAGCAAGGGGCGGCCGCCGCCTCACCCGGCTCAGGGCGGACTGCGAGGGCTGCCTTCTGCTCGCAGGGCAGGCGGGCGGGCTTCGGGGCCGTCACCGCCTCTTTCCCTCCCCGTACCGCGGGGATTCCGGCCGCCTCCGGATGAGCGCGGGCCGCCGGAGGTCGCGGATGCGCCGGGCGAAACAGATCCTCGCGTACTGCCTGTTCCTGGGGCTGTCCTTACCCCTCGCGCTGCTGCTGCTGCTGCTTTGACGCGCGGAGCCGGAGCGAGCCCCGCTTCGCGGCCCGGCGCGTGGCCGGCGGCAGCGAGCCGAGGGCCGGAAGCCTCGGCAGAGGAGGATGAGGAGCTCGGGCGGGCTCCGCGGAGCAGCACCGCGGGCCGGCGGGCCGCTTCTCCCCGCGGGGGGGCACGGCCGCGACCCCGGCCGCGTTCTGCCCCCGCGGCCGTGATGCCGCCGCGCTTGCCGCCCCCTCGCCCCGACTGACGGGGAGTCGAGGCGGCGCCCGCGGTAACGGCGGCCCCCGCTCGCCGCGCCGAGCCGAGTCGCCGCTGCTCGGGGGCGGCGGCTCTTCCGCCCTGAGGCGGCTGGATGTATTGGTGGCCGCTCCTCGCGCCCCCGCCAGCGCCTCGGGGCCGCCGCGGCCCGTCCGACCCCGCGCCTGTCGGGCGGCGGCCGTAGCCGGGAACCGGTGCCGGCCGCGGAGCCGGCACCGCCGCGATTCGTCGCTCCGCCAGGCGGAGCGCGTCCCCGCCGGCTTGCCGCGCGGGGAGGCGGGCCGGGGGCCGGCCGAGATGGGAGAGAGCGTGTCCAAGAGGCTGAAGCTGCAACTGGGCGGCGAGGCGGAGATGGAGGAGCGGGCTTTCGCCAACCCCTACCCCGACTACCAGCCCCAGGGAGCCGCGGCAGCCCACGGCGCGGCGGAGGCCCAGCGGGATCGGGCGCTGCTGCCGCCGGCGGCGGAGGATACTCTCCCCTTCGGCGCGGACGGGAAGGTGAGGGCCGGCAGGGAGCCGCTCTGCGCGCCTCCGGGCCTGCTGCGCGTCCGGGCCGCCCGCGGCCTGCGTGCGGGGCGGGCCTGGCGCCGTGCCCGGACTCGGGGCTGCTTGCCCCGAAATGGGTGCCGCTCTCCTGCGGTACCGCCTGCGGCCCTCCCAAGTTCGGCTCGGGAAGTGTGTGTTGGGGAGAGGAGATGCGGAGCGGCTCCCCGCCGGCCTCTCGCGGCCCGGCGGCGTCGTAGCCGCCCTGCGTTGAGCGAGGAGGGGCTGCGCAGAGGTGGGCGGTAGCGGTGCTCCCGCTTCGGGTATCGCTGGGCCGTTCCCTTCAGTGGTGACTCTTAAGGCATGTGGTTACGTTCCCGAAAACGCTTTATTTTGGGTGGCCTGCAGGAGGCCTGTGCGATAACGCTGAAGGCAGCTCTATTCTGCTTGTTTTCTTGACATCGTGTGCTGCTGGTGAGCTGCTCTCCCACATGCATCTCAGGCAAAAAATGCATGGGCTGTTTGCACACGAGTTGGTGTAAGCTGCGGAAGGAATGTCATCTTTCCAATGAAGATACTGCGTGGTGACGCTGCTGGAAGTACAAATGCGTGAGGTGCAGAAGTAACTTTTCTCACTCACCTGTGCTTGGGTGAAGTGCAGTGCATGTGAGTGTGATAAAACTTAGCAAGGCACATGCTAGCTCTTGGTCAGGGTGAGTTACAGCTTTTACTAATTGTTGGGAGTGGAGTGAATGAAGCTGTGTGGGTGCACAGAAAGGAGCACTCTTGGGGTTTGGTTTCTTACTGTTTGAGCTCGTTGCAGCTGTCAAAAGCAGATCATGGAGCTTGAAAAGGTTTAAAAAGCAAAGGTAGATTTGTGAGTAAAATCTTGTTTTTGCAGAAATCCTAGACAGTAATACCCAGCATTAAATTTTTTTTCTCTTTTCCTTTTTTCCTTTTTTCTTTTTTTTTTTTTTCTGGAAAGAACTGTGATTTCTTTTGTATTTGGCTTAAAGTATGAAAAAACCTATCCGCATGTGTTGAGTTGGAGTATGAAGACAGAGAGGGGGCTTTGCAGTGTTCAAAAGCATGGAACTCCTCTGGAAAAAAAAACAAGTCATCTTCTGTGTTGCATTGAAGCAGTGTAGTTACAGCAACTTTCAGCAGGCCTACTAGGAGTTTTTTCAGCTCTGTGTTTTGCTGGAGAGAGTAGATCTGTGCCTACGTTTTCTTTTTGTTTCTGCATCTGCAATTTCTGAGTAATGATTCTGTGTATTTCTGGGTTAGAGTATGGCTTGGAGTATGTTTGTGTGTATTTATACTGTTGGCAACATTTGCCTCTAATCAGTCCTTATTCCATACTGCCTTTTTGAGACTTCCTGATGGGTATTTTAGGGTAGTCATTTTGATTTGCTTTGATTTTTTTTGTGTGTGTTTATTTTTGTTTGTTTGCTTGTTTGCTGCATTGAACAGACACTAGTCCTGTCAGAGGAACATCTAAGGCGTCTGTGAGGGTGAAAGGATTTTACACAGGTTGGGAGACTTACTGTTCTGTAAACTGTTTTGTGCACTAGCACAAATTTCCGAAAAATGAAATTAGCCTTCAGAAGCTCTATGTGCATTGTGCCTTTTTTTTTTTTTCCTGCCATCTGCTGATGTGTGCAATGGTGAGAATTGAGTGACTCACATAATGGCAGCGAGAACTGTATGGGGTTCTGCTGTTGTCACAGAAGGCACTGCATTATTATGCCCTCCATTTGATTTCATAAGCTGCCATATTTGCTATGTAAAGTTAATCCAGTTGATAAAAGGACAAGGAGCTCTTCAAGTCATTGTCTAGAATGTGAGACAATTGGGGCAAAGTGCTGCGTGTGGATGTGTGTGCTTATATGCATAGGGTATATGTAAGGAAGTTAGAGTGTGGGAGGAAGAGAGGAG